CCACGGTGTTGAACCAGAATCCGATATGTCCTTGCGGCAGGTTCATTCAGAGATCCTAGCACAACGAAGGACAGACAGTTCAGGAATGTAGGATCCCTGGAGAATTACCATGGTTGGAAGGCATTTCCATTTGCTGGAACCACATCCCACGAATCTGCGTCCAGCCTGTTCAAGTCGAAGGCAAAGATTCAATTTGCCGTCGAGCACCGATCGAATTGACATCTTTTTCTTGAGTATTCAATTATGTCTTTGACATTCCTGAAGCACAATTTCCACCCCAGACAGCTAGACATACCTGCAAATTTATAACGAGAAAGTCAGTAAATTTAACACCAATGACCTGTGATCACCTATCAAGCAATCGATTATTTGATCGTCCAATACCTATTAGCCAATCTGGTTGTCTGTTCGCATCCGCCAAATTTAAAAACCGCGTTCAGCCAATCACTTGCTGTTTTATAGAGTTGAATCAAGTGCGATGATGGCGGTAGCCTTTGAAAGAGCGGCTCTTGCCGAACGGGGTTTCAGTATTTAATAAAAGTGGCGTGAAAATTATTAAACGACTTTAAAACCCCCAATTTTCTGATTAGTTAACCTTGCTACTGCATTTATAAAAAATGTGGTTAAAATCAGTTTATGGCGAGCGTTAGATGTTGTCAGGCCGTTATCCTAGGATCGTTTTGTTTTTAAACTACGATTTCTGAGATGATTACATTATCAACATTCTAATGGCGCATATTTTGCAATAAATGCGTCAAAAATAATCCAGAATAAGTTGCGTATTTGAAAACGCTTTGATGCGTTTCTCTCCTCAAACCTCCCTTTCAATATAAACTAGCTGGTGGTAAAGCCTTCTTACTTGCTTGTTTTAATCAACGACATAATTTCTAGGGAATTCTCATTGGTTCATTCGCCCACTCTATAATTCAGGCCTAATTGCTCTCCTTTAATTATTTTTTGTGTCAAAAATTGCCACTTTAGTTTGATTTGGTTGAAATTCGGCTTTATTGATAAACCAGCTGGTAAAAATCTGTCTAATTTTGAATAATAAAGCAGAGATTATTCGTGGCGTTGACACACAAGTCCGGGCGTTCAACTAATTTACATAATCAGTAGCTTTATGATGGATCGGGTATTATTTCATTGTCCACTCCAAATATCGCATGTAACCAGGATTGGATTTACCTATCAGTTTTTTGTTTTGTTTTACTCATCTAGTACCTCAGCCGGACGGGTATTTGACTTTGGTTTGTCAGGTAGTTTCAAATTTTGGCCGAACTATCGACCTTAACCTTTAATTTGACCGTCATTTAAATTCCAGATTGTCGATTTTTATGTTTGATACTAAACCTTTTGTTTAAATGTTGCAATTAGGTGCTTGCTTTGTAGACTAAAAGAACGACTAAACTTTTGTTTAAATTAAATGCTCTTTTCAAAAAACTAAAACTGAGGATGTTAGACCACCCTTTTAGGTGATGCGAGTTCCGAAGAAATGAAGCGTACTTTTATTTTGCCTCTCCTATGTGGTCTATTGTGTCATATGGCCAAAATTGAACTCAATCCAAGCTCTGAGTGATGCTTTGGATTCAAGTCTGATCGGCTGTCATGGTTTCATTTGTGCCTGCAAAAAAAGGCAAACCTAACCTAACAGAATTTTTAGCCGTAAACTGATGTCGTTTGTTTAAATAGGAACAGTAGATTGTAAACCATTCGGCCTTAACAATTTTCGTTGGCACACTAAGGACTAACTGCATGTTTTTTGATTCAGCTTATCCATAATGATATCCTTTAACATTTTAATGATTGTATAATAATTATTATTAATCATATTTATGCATACCGGTTCTGTGTTCAAATCAGCCGCCGTCTCCCAGCGTGCATTTAATTTCATTTGCACTGAAGGTAGCCCATATCATTTATAAGTTCGCACAACTGAACATGTAATACGGGCTTTGGCTAAGAGAATAGTTCTCTGTCTCGCCTGATCTTTGCCCGGAGAAACCGTGATCTAGATGTTTGCCTTTTACTTGTCTTAATGCAAAGCAAGATGCTAGTGTGCCTTATGTCTGATTATCCACCTTAGTTAGGCCCTCTTCTTTAAAAAATTGGACGTGTATATATGCTTTGATTTCATAAAAGAGTCAGTTCTAAAGCATTTCCAGGTTATTGTTGCCAAGCACACCGATCTACGAGATGGCGCGACATTTAGATGAAGTGAGCCTTCATCTATTTGAACCTTGGCATCTAATAAAATATACATATTAACAATGCAATTTTAATAGTTCACATCATCACACTACATATTACGTCGTTAATTTAAAGCGTTCACATGCTGCAACTTGCAAAAAATAACTTAATATAACTAACTTATGGGTCCATGTTGGCAGGTTTTAATGGACAGTGCATAATGTTAGACTGCACTAATTTTATTTCTCATACTAAAGCTATTACATGAATATATTAGAAGGCTAAACCAGAAAGACAAACGTTTAAATTTACAGGAAATATTATACAAGGTAAGTTTCCATTTAAGTATGAAACACGCTGCCTTTTCTATTTGATTATCTTCATGCGCTGAAAAATTATTTCAAAATGCTCGCCCTTTTGTGCTGTTCAGTAATCTCGGGTGACAAAACAACTTAGGCACCTAAAGCAATCCCTTTAGCATCTTTTATTTATTAGAATAAGCTGTCTCAAAGTACTGTAAGACATCAGGGAATGGGTTTTCATAAATAATTGATCTACCCGGAACTTTTTCCATTTAGCTTCTTATTCCTTTCTCAGTGGCATTTCTTTGATAAAACAAGATGCCTAAAAATTTTTATTTTAAATTTATATGTATTTGATTAGCCTTGAAGGCCAAGGAAAATTTCAGTTAGCTTCCGACTTCCTCAAGTACAACTTTTCTTTAATACGAACCAAGACATGATGTGTATCAAGAATTTGACAATGACGGACCTGGATTACTGTACCGCCTGTATATAGAAGCATTTTTGCGCTAAAGTATTTATTTATTTATAAATATTTTGGGAGGCAATACATGTATTCAAATTAACTCGCTAATTCATCGAGTTTCATTTTATCCTGAAAAAGTTCTCATTGTAGTAATAAGATTATTTTTAATATTCAATACATTATTCTAGGTAGAAATTAATCTACTTATTGATCAGTAAGCTCCATGATTCCCAGAATTATATTTCAAGTTTATTCTGTCACAATTATCCAAGAATTGAATCCACAAATCTTGTTTTCAAGGTCAATTGTAGTACGTTGAACATTCGAATTTTTGAAGGTTTTATGCCGAAACGAAAGTCAGTGCCTAATAAGAGCATCGTCTCAAAATGTCCCAAGTTGGATGACACTGATAAAATCAATCATAACGAATATAAGTCCCTGATCCAGTCGGCCTTTCTCCTAAAGTGTCCTCCCGATTTTTTTGAATTTTATAACTTTTGTTGTTCGGTCTTCCCAGAATCCCCATTAGGTAGGTAGGCAATTATTTCTATGCCCTAGATGCACTTCTTAATGATTTAAACTTGAGACTAGTGGGACCATTTGAAGTTTTAAGTAACCCAACAATAATTAAACCTGAAACGGATCTTACCTGTTGCAATCGTCACTTCCATGACCCTCCCGAAGTTGTAACGGTTCTATCCGAGGAATCTGAAACCCCCTTTCACGTTGGATATTTTAGGTATTCCGATCTTCGTGCGTTAAAACTCGTTTTAGGGATGACTATAACGAAATTCCCGAGTTTCTGGTTTCTTCTTGTCCATCCGAGAGTGGCAAATTAACATTCCTATGTACAAACATCTTTTCTGCCGTTATGTAGGCTCATAGCACTATAATAATCTGTTTAAGAAACCTATGCAATCGAAGTCAGAAGACCAAGAAGTCGCCCTTACTCGCAAAGTTGGTGCAGTATGCCCAGGACCACTCAATCAGCATCGACACGAAGAAGAGGAGTGCGTCATTTGGTTAATTTATTCCAGGCCTCATAGACAAACGAACTCCCGTTTGCACCACGCTAAACGGTATTGGTCTTCAAGTTGAATTACGCAACGGTATCGGTTATCGACCAGTCACATCCAGCCACAGTATGTCCCCACACTTTGTCGTGTAATTAGTCGTGACCTACTTTACGTTCCATTTTGGTCTTTAGACGAAATTACTGAGATGCTCCAGAATCTTATGGATTCCAAGAATGAGAAAGCAAGGCTCAGGAATCTCTCAAAGCTGGATGAGCTAATGACTCTGGTCCAGTTCGCCAATGACGAGGGTGACTACGGCCAGGGCCTTGAACTCGGACTCGATCTCCTGGCTTTCCATCCACGAGGTAGACACTCGTCTTTTGCGAAGTGCTTCAGGCTAAGCTACCCCGAGTGGTAGTTGTGATGGACTGACGCCCACTTCTCCGCTTGTAGGTCCGCTGGAGTCAGCGAATTGCCTCAACAAGAGGATCGCTGTTTTGCTCTCTACAGGCTACCGACTGGCAGGCCGTCCCAGGTTCTCTGACGTCATCAAACAACACATGGAGACCAGATCCACCCCGAAAACTGTCAAAGACGTTACCGCAAGCTCAGGTTAAACACACGGATCGACTGCCCATTTATTTATGCCACCTCCTGTTGGCTAATAAAAGACAGTGGATGAAGATTCATAATTTTTTTCTTGTCGTAGATATCAAAAAATTTAAAGCACACGTGTTCGGACACTCGTTGGGAATAAAGTTAGGCGAGTAAAAAGAAGTGGTGAGTCACGTCGATTGGATGGTCTTCGTGTGATGAAGAAGAGCAACAAGAAATATGGGAATTTGATATAAGTCGCCACCCTAGACCAATGAACCGAAGGTAGGGTTGTGGCGACAGATCGATGGTCCGTACTCCTCGTACTGAGCGCGTGTGTGACAGGCGGTGTAGAATTCGGGCTGCAATTCAACAAGAAGAGTGTGAGTGGCGAGTTCTCGCCGTTTATCATTGATTTTCGCTTAAAGAAATGAGGTCGTATGATGGCCAGAACACCTGGTAGTGGGTTAGTAGTTGGAGATATGTTGATCGCAGCAAAGTTTGTGAGCAAGAGCTAGCTAGACGTACCGTGCTGGCAAGAAGCGATCCACCGAACCAGACCGCGTAGCGCTGCATCTTGTGGGAGACCACGTTCACCTCGATTGGCGTGGGCTAAAACCACCAAAGAAGGAGAATAGAATAAGTCAATGCGAACGGATCATTCTGCCGTGTCAAGACGCCAGCCAAAGCAATCCCTGGGAACCATGGCTGCTTGAAATCGCCTTGATAAAACCGCTTGTGCTTTGGCCTTCTGACTCATTGTGTTAGGCAAACACTGTGTTAGCCCCTGCGATAAACAGCTGTATCTCCGTGGCCTCTGGTACCTACGTAGCGTGTGACAGGGGCTTAAGAACTTGGCAGACTGTGGGTGGAATTAGGCTTTATTCCAGGGTTTCCACAAAGATGGTGACAGCACGTTAACCGGCCGCAAGGAGAACACGGTACCTTCATTCGGCCGCGCGTCAGTTCCTCAGTCAGCTTGAGACGGGCGTCCACAATGCCTTGGATGTCGCGCTGAATACGGCGACCGAGGTTCTTGAACATGGAACTGCCTCCAGAGAGCACGATGTTCTAAAGGAGCCAAGAAGAGGCGATGGTGGACTTCCACACACAGCGCGTTGGTAGATGCCAGCACAAAAACAGCACTTACAGCATACAGTCCACGACGAGCGTCAATTGGTGAGTTCTGGATTACCTCCTCAACCACAGAGCTCACCGACTTCGTGTAATCCTGATTCACAAACTACAAACACGGACACCGCGTTAAAATATCACCACTTAAATCGACATTGTAGTAGTAGTAAGTAGTACATACCTCGGGGTGGAAGAATACCTCAGGGCCCAGGAAGCGTTCATAGCCAACATCTACAGTTACAGGCGGGTACTTTGGGTGCTTCGTCACATCCTTGGTGCAGAGCCACTTTTGGGGTTCGGCGTCGTACTTCTGGAACTCCTTGCTCAAATCTGGGCAAACGTAGCAATACCTAGACAGGAGAACACTCGGTTATGAGCGCGATGACGCATTATGCAGCCTAGGAAGGCGGACTTACGTCTCCTTGATCTTCTTCGCTATCTCCATGCTCAGCTCGGGCGGAATGCCGGTCTCGCGTTCCCGCAGCAGTTGTTGGATGAACGAGGTGATATCCCTGCCGGCGATGGGGATGTGCTTGATGCAGGAGCCAACCACGTAGCCGTCGACCACGGGAATGATGTGGGTCACGCCGTCACCGGAATCGATAACGGTGCCCGTGAGGCTGCGTTTTCCGTCCAACCGTGAACCCCACGACGCGATGAGAGCCAGTGTCGCCTACAATCAGCATTCAATACGACTTGTGCTGTCGACGCACGAACGCGGAGCTACAACTCGACGTCTGCGCACAATTTTGAAATGTGAGCAGCTAAAGTATTCGCAATAACTCTGTTTTCTAAACAAGGTATTGTGATTTTCAGAGAAACGGAGTCTTTGATTGCAAACAGAGGAACGGGGCTTGGCTTCTCAGGTATGACCTGGATTCCTCAGAAAACATTTACGCAGTCACACACAAGAAAACCACTCAGATGGGCCACTGTAATTGAATTCTCCACGGACTTCGAAAACTAGGGCGAAGCCCACCCGACATGCGTGACAATGGGAATAATGGAAAGAGCTAATTCATATCCTTTCCAAAACGGTCAAAAACGGCGACTCAACGAGGTGAAAAAAATGCCAGGGTTGAGAAAATGTGTTATCCACGCACGTGGCCGAAGGTTTAATTACCTGCATGGCAATGTAGAGGCCGGGGATATTGAAGGTCTCAAACATGATTTCCGCGAGGTACTCCCGGTTTTCCGGAGTATTTAGTGGCGGCTCGGTCTACACAAAAATTCGAAAAAATGTATATTAATATTCAACTTCCAATGCATAAGCGCTCTTTCTCAATAAAACGAGGGGTTCGGATCAAGGGTAACGCTAAAAATACTAAGATTCGCAGATCTACTTTCGTCAGCTTAATACTACTTAGTGTTCGCAAACATTTGCCACAAAAACGTACCAACAAGAAGTAATGGTCCTCGGGTTCCGCGCGAAGGACTTTGAATATCACCTGTTCCATGAATCGCTGCATTAGATCCCAATCCTCAATGATGCCATGTCGAATTGGCCACTAAAAATTATTAGGTCATATTGTAATTTATATCCAATCATCTTTTTATGGTATGTGACACAACTCAAATACATCATTCACTTTTAATGTTGACATTAACTGAAGAAAAACTCGCCTTGAGGGAGAAATCATTCTTGCCGTCAGCCGCGATCGCTTCATCGCCGATATAAAAGTTGAGGTCATCAAGACCAGTACCAAGGCGTCTAGCATCACGATTTCCAATTTTTCCATATTCCTTCACGGCAATACAGGACGGAATAATGCACTGCGGTTGCATATTCGACGCATAGCCAATTTTTGAGTAACTTAAAGAAAAGTTTTGCCAGGTGAGTCGGAAGTGTAGGCGGTAACATATCTAAACAACCGCAATAAAACACAGAGACCAAGACACCCCCTGCGCGAACCACGTTACGGGACCACAGCTGAGCTTATTCAACCCCTAAGACCGGATTAATCCAAGAACTGCATGAAAGTCCCATCAACATAATACAGGTCCGCTCTATTACACTCCGAAGCAATGTTCTGCACAATATGGGGTCAACTGATATGTAGAGTGGATCCGCAGGAATAACAACAAAATGTCACACTTTAGCAAGCCTGAATCACAGACTACACAATCTCCTTAGTAATCGTTATAATGGACAGGGAAAGTAAGCACAAGTTAACAAAAGTACCCAGTGCCATTGTCGACAACAACCGCAGGAAGTTGATTTGCCATCTTCAATGGTCTCCAAAAATTCGCCGAAAGTGTACCTGACTTAAACACATTTCAAATTTAAAAATGTATTTTGACAAGTTTATATGTATATTTCAATGCTCTATGCCTGTAAAAATGTAAACAGTTGTTTTGGATAATAAATATGTATGTGCAGAAGGTAAAGTACTACGTAGATCTCAATCTGAATTGTCAAACTTGCGTAAAAATTATTTCTAAATCACTATTCCTACTCTAAGTAATTTAAAACTAAAATTTATTAACACAAACTTAAACAAAATTCAGGAAAGTTTGCACCATATCCTCAATCAATGGGATTCATTTTATGTGATTATTGAAACGAAATTTAATTCTAAAATTTATTAGTCTGCTTTCGGCAGCTAAAAAAACTTTATCATGTTAAAAAATGACAAGTCTAAGTATATTACAAAACAAATCGAGCTAGCTTGTGTGCAATACCATCTAATTAGTCACCGTATTTGTTCACATCCTCCCACGACCCCGCCGACAAAGACGACCTAACCAAACACGACAGGGCCAAAGACAAAGACTTCACAGTAAATTGAGTAGGCAGGTGATCAGCCCTACTATATATCTAGGCTTTAGTTCTTTTTCTCATGGCATGACATTGAAATCCAATAATAAATGTTGCTGCGTGTTTGGGTATGCAGGAATAAAAACATTCCGCTACATTATCCTTCAGCCCTGTCCATTTAAAATATTTGTGTTTTGATTTCCCTTCAAATAGTATCTGGACGTTTAAATTGTGGTACAATTAGCGTCACTAATTTTTTAAATGCAAGCATTGACATGCACATATTGTCAGTAAATGATGCTCTAGTTAAAGTGGCTCGGGTTGCCTCAGCCAATGTCTGATTACTACGACTGAGCGCGCATAGTCCGGCATGCTTTGGTCTACCTTGAGCACAAAAATAATAAGGACTGTTGGATTTGAATATAAAATTTTGCATTAAGGAGCCGTGCAAACCAAACGAAAAACGCAAGTTTAAATACAATTACAAAGAAATGCATTTATTCCTTATCTTTGAACATCCTTTCATGCTTATATAATTTAACTTATAGGTCAGATTTGATTTTTTGTGTTTGCATATATGGTCAGTTGATTCAAAGTTAACTTTTTATTTCTGTATCTGATGAAATGCCGTTTGGTGTGGCCACATTCTGATGCTTAAAATGGTATATTGTATGTTCTCAAAAGTACACATTTAAAGGTGAGCATCTAGATGTAAGATGCTATGTACTTTTATATGCATTTGAAGCATGCTTATGTGAAAAATCAATTTGACATTTTATTAGAAAAATGAATCCTTTTTTCTTGACCTTTTAAGTGACGCATTACAAGCAGGATTATTTTATTTAATAATTACAATTTTTAATTCAAAATTCAAACTGTGTTGTGGCACTCCTGCATAGAAATGCGGTAGGTTGCATAAATTCCCTTTGGCTACCCCTCTTTCGATGGTATATTAAACGAATTAACTTCAGATTGCTCTTTTATTTATACCTGCAGGTTTTATAAGAAAAACGTTTTTGTGTTTATATAAACACATAAATGCATACAAAATATTAGGTAATTCTTACATGCCATCAAATTAAATATTATTTATTTTAATAATCACCCATCGAAAGCATGTTTAGTAAACAAGCAATACGTATAGAAATATTGGTTATGAAAATATGGCATGTTAATATTTGCGGGTAAAAATTACATATATTCACTAAATACTGCATAAACTGTAATTAAATTTCAGCCTTGAGACTTGTTTAAATTTTTCGCTTTGCCAACCCATTGTTACATTTCATTATATAAGTTCGGTTTGTGACTCCAAGCTTCACTTTGCTACGTCGCCGTAATGTCTTCTACTATCTGGGCCGAAACTAAGTGTGAAGCGCCAAAGGCGCCTGTAGTTAAGGGGAAGTTCTGCGATCTTCCTGAAATCGTCCGAAAGTTTGTTGGTCACTGGGTATGTTTCAGTTTAATGTTTCTGACTTCAAATTAAGGCCAATATATGCACACCTCAGGATGTTTTCATTTGTGATGGTTCTAAAGCTGAGGCAGAGGCCATTACTGACGATCTTATTAAATGCGGCACTCTGCGAAAACTGAAGGCCTATGAAAACAACTACATCTGCTGCACTGACCCGAAGGACGTCGCGCGTGTTGAATCCAAGACTTTCATCTGCACACCCGACAAGTACTCAACCGTGCCCCATGTTGCTGAGGGCGTGAAGGGAATTCTCGGTCAATGGATTTCACCCGCGGACATGGACGCCGCTGGCAAAGAACGTTTCCCCGGCTGCATGAATGGGCGTACCATGTACGTCATTCCCTTCAGCATGGGTCCCATTGGCTCGCCTCTCGCCAAGTACGGTATTCAGCTCACTGACTCGCAATACGTTGTGCTATGCATGCGTATCATGACTCGCATGTCCACTAAGGTCCTGGAGTACATCCAGAAGCAGAACGAATTCGTGCGCTGCCTACACAGCATCGGTCTGCCGCACCCACACCCAGGTAAGTGCTAGTCTGATTGCGCTCATGTGCATCGCCCATTAGCGTCTGCTGTTGTCAATAACTGGCCGTGCAACCCTGAGAAGACAATCATTGCCCACATTCCCGACGAACGTCTCATCATGAGCTTCGGCTCCGGCTACGGTGGCAACTCGCTTCTGGGCAAGAAGTGCTTCGCCCTGCGTATCGCCGGACGCATCGCCTATGACGAAGGCTGGATGGCCGAGCACATGCTCATCATGTCTGTCACCAACCCCAAGGGTGAGGAGAAGTTTGTCTGCGCCGCTTTCCCTAGCGCCTGTGGCAAGACCAACATGGCTATGCTCACTCCAAGCCTCCCTGGCTGGAAGGTTATGTGCGTCGGCGATGACATCGCATGGATGCGATTCAACGACAAGGTAAGTCCGTGCAATTTGTGTAGGTGTAATGCTAAATTTATAGGGTGAACTCCGTGCCATCAACCCTGAGGCCGGTTTCTTCGGTGTCGCCCCCGGCACCAACCACAAGACCAACCCGAACGCCCTCGAGAGCTGCATGCGCAACTCCGTGCTGACGAATGTCGGCGAGACCGAGGACGGTCGCTTCTTCTGGGAGGGTCTTGAGGGCGAATATGAGCCCGGGACGAAACTGACCACCTGGCTGGGCGAGAAGACCACTGTTGGCACCCCCACGAAGACACCCAAGGCTCACCCCAACTCGCGCTTCTGCTGTCCTGCCTCGCAGTGCCCAATCATCCATCCAAAGTGGGAAGACCCCGCTGGTGTGCCCGTCAGCGTCTTCATGTTCGGTGGTCGCCGGCCGGAGGGCATCCCTCTTGTGTACGAGGCTCGCAGCTGGAAGCACGGTGTCATGATCGGTGCTCAGGTCAAGTCGGAAGCCACTGCCGCTGCTGAGTTCAAGGGTGAGAGAAGCTAACCCCCTCCTCCCCCTCACTCTCCTTTTAATGTGTTCTAGTCATTCATAAATTGTGTGTTTTTCGTTCAAATTTCAGGCCGCCAGGTGATGCACGATCCTATGGCTATGCGTCCGTTCATGGGCTACAACTTCGGCAAGTACTTGGAGCACTGGCTGTCGATGGAGAAGCCCGGACGCCACATGCCACGCATCTTCCACGTCAACTGGTTCCGTCTGGACAGCAACGGACGCTTCGCCTGGCCCGGTTTCGGCGACAACATCCGCGTTGTCGACTGGGCTCTGCGTCGTGTGTCCGGTGAAGACATCGCCTGCGACTCCCCGATCGGTCTCTTGCCAAAGAAGGGTTCACTTAACCTGGAAGGACTCAATGTGGACTGGGACTCCATCTTCGGGCTGGACAAGAAGTACCTGCTGGAGGACATTGAGGAGACCACCAAGTTCCTCGACGATCAGGTTGGCATTGATCTGCCCAAGGTCATCAAGGATGAGTTGGCTGAGCAGAAGAAGCGCATTTTGGCAATGTAAGCAATGAGGCACCACCTTCGTCTGATTGTCCGGTGTTTGGTGTTCTCTCTAACCAAACTTTTAACACACTAGCGTTTATTGTCTGCATCAGACCCGCTGTAATTTCTTTCTGTGTGGTGTAGTTCTTCTTCTGTCAATCATTAGCATCATTTTGCTATGACTGTCTCTCGACTTCTTTTTTGCTAATCCTTGTGGGAGGCTGTTTGGGATGGGTCATCTGTCACGGGCAAGAAGTCACTAAATTCCTGTCTCAACTAGTGTCCGGTGTGTTCTGTGTTGAGATCTCATGGTGCAAATGACATTTAAGGACTACGGAGGCAGACATTTTGGGAAAATCTTGTCCGTCAGAGCAGCTGCATATCTCTGAAATCGGCGACCATGCAAATTTTCCATGGTTTTCGTGTGTGATTTAGTTAAATTAGGCGATACGTAGACGGTGGGACACGTGAAAAGGAGTCTAGTTGCTACCTCATCTAGCGTCTTGGGTCTCTGTGATTCGACCAATCAGCTGTCGTGTGGAACTGTGAGTGGACTTTGGATTGATGCCTCTGATTTGGGGTAGCGGCCAATTTGTCTAGCGTTTCTTAACAAAGCTAGAGCTAGCTGTAGGTTTCACTGACCAAAGGTTATTGTGCAACCGAGATATCCAAACTTACGTCTTTGGCCACCGAGCTGATAATGTCTTTTGATCAAATCAAAGGCGTGGCACCATTAATCATGCAAACAAACGTGTAACGCGCCTACCGAGCGGGGACCTAAATAGGGAGATGACTGTTAGCCCGTCCCTCTTAGATAGCCACACCATCATGGTTAGCAACCAGGCACACGATAGAAGAATAGCTGGAAGAATCGGATGTATTCCATACTACCGCATACAAACTCAGAGGGCTAGAGCTTAGGGAGAGTTAGAGTGGGGAAAGGGATGGCCCCGAGGAGGGTTGGCGTTGCCCTCGGACTCACGGGCGTGCCTTGAGGAAGGCGTGAGTGCGGGAAGGGAGGGGAGAACAAACAACAGGCCAGACCGGCGTGCGTGGGTCGAATGGCGCGCGTCACAAACGATAATTTCGAATTTGGCGCGGTTTAGTTCAAGTCTAAACTGTCTGAAAAAAGCGTAGTCTTGCAAAAATACTAGCTAAACAAAACCCCATTTCAAACATTTCCACCGGCTCTGAACCAGTCTGGGCACTTCGGTGCCGTGGTGTCGAAGTTTGAGGATAAGAAATCCCTGTTAATTTAACCGTTGAGCGGGTGAACTTGGGAATGGCGCCATGTTTAAATCACTCGGGGATTTGTGGAGTAAATCCTTTAACAGACTTGATCTAGATAAAATACTGTCTTTGATTTAGGCAGCCTTAGTAAATACTGACCTCTTCTTTTGTAGAGAATATATTTACCAGTTAGTGCTCAGCTTATATATGACACCATTTGGCTTTTCTCACAGGTACAAACGATTTGCCAATTTCCAACCAATTCTCGACCATTTCTCGACACACTACCTAAGACCCATCATCCTGTAACTCCAGGAATCACGCCAAGTTGGCATTACAATCAATCACAGCAGCTTAATCGGTATTCGCAACCCTCCGGCACAGTAGCCACTGAAGCACAGACACACGGGAGCACAGACAGACGCACAGACATTGAATGAACACCTCCCGAGACTTGATTGGCTCATTCGGCCTGTCGCGTGGTTCGAAAAGCACAGGCTGTTCCCCGGAAGCAGGTCCACAACCGTCCGCTTCTTATTTACAAATAATTTAAAACCCAATGATAAATTTACAATGCGAGGTCACGTATTTGCAGAATTATTAGAGCAAAATATTTACCGCGTTTAGAGATTACGGGTATTACGGCTAATCCTCCTTCGTTAACCAGACAGCACATTGATCCGCTAAGATAGCAAATTCTACCGACTGTAAAGTGTTCTGCACTGACTAAACTCTATTGGCTAATGTGTAGCGCGTAAATCGATTGACATGGCAAGTTCAATTGCCGCAATCAATGTTTGTGAAAGATGAATGGGTTCCACAGTCAGGTCCAGCAGTCTAAATAGGGAGGCGGGGTCGTCCACAACTGTGACTTGCGTCAAAAGACTCCACTGTTGTTGGAAGTCCTGAGAAATTGTGGAACTACGCAAAGTAGATGCTGGTCTAGGAATGAATTCTGTCGAATTTCTCGGCACTGTCGACTAGATTAGAACGAAGATATCGCCCACATCGTGCACCACAAACAGTTCATCGTAGGACTTACAATATATATCACAGCAGCGAAAATTCTTCGTTCGTGAGAAACCCCTTCACAATCTGCACACCACACCGAACTGTTAGGTAAACAATTGCTTTCGGTGTTGCGCTCAGGTAACGAGGTTGCGCTGGTCCACAGGCCTTAGTCTCCAAGATAAACAAACCCATTTGTCATTGTTACATGCCTCGAAAACCGCCAGGCACGTTGTCACATAACCCGCAATTTTCAACAAATCAACAAAACTAATTGGCTGAGTCGAAAACGTTTAGAGTGGTTGGCGTGCTGATGCCTTCTTCGAAATTTTAAGGTCACTCTAAGTAAAGAGATCAGTGTTTTCGTGACTATTCACACACCAATTTTGCAGTCGATCATTAATCATCGTAACGACGCACAAACCACGCCGACAGACTGTCTCAAAATCACCACAGTGTCCAAATATCGTTTCACCGAGTACCACGCTTAACTCACCGCAATATGTGTAATTACTCCATCCACTTTGTCACGAATTCCGACAAGTTTTCGACGAAGATGGTAAAAAAATGGGGAAATCGTATTTTAGCCAATCAGAAATGGAAGCTGCATTCTGGCTGACGTCGATCGAATGCTGCTAACCCAGGTTCGCACAATGCACTGTGTGTGTGTTTTTATCGATTAGCACCGCGTGGACTGATATTGATTTACAGAACGATGAGGCGTATTGTGTGTTTTTTTCTCGAATTTCCGCGAATTATAAAGTTAAGGAATTTTACGGAAACACGAAACTAATTGCCACATCACCTCACAAAGAATTTTTGAGGTATTTGAATGCCCTTAGCGTTTTTACTGATGCAGCTAGGGTGTCAAAAGCTTAATTTGCACTTAAAACTAAATTTTCACAACCTTCTTAACTTGAATCCACTGTCACCGTCAGTGAGATGAAGATGTTACAGGCGTGCAAGCTGTTCCAAGTTATTCCAGGAGGCACCTTTCGACATCTGCGGTTTGCTGAAGCCTCTTCGCCGTTGTCTTGCTAACGTGTCACAACTGGAGCATTCCACGATAAAGCACGCCGTGGTGGCGCATGTGCGTCGTGACACCCGTGTAAATATTAATGCGCTGTGAGTAATGGCTTTGGCGCGCCTCACACAAACACAAAGACGTGCACGCACGTGGCAACGAACTGGACCACCTCGGGATTTTGGTCTTTTTTTTTTAAACACATCGACTGCACATCCTGGACGTTGTTTATGGCGAGTGGCGCGCCACGAGTTCATTTCCTGAATCTACCATTTTGGCGATGTCGCGCTGAAACGTCTTAGTCTCGCTAACTCATCGATTGCTTTGCCTGCGTTATACCAGCATCTACGTCGAGTTCTATGCTGGTTATGCTAACACACACACACAATATGAGTTCCATGTCGTGACCTTGTTAATGCGTGCCTCGAGGCACTGAATGATCCGCTGTGGTTTGCGGTCGTCTTTCTTGAAAGGTCAATCAATGCCAACAAGACGGCCATAATCGCATTGACAGAGCGCTCCACAAATCTCTTGGTAGTCTCCTTGAAATGGCACTTTTTGGTGTTCCATTTCGGTAATCTCTCCAGGCGACAACGAGGTAGTTATTGAGCCGTCGTTTTGCCTGTAATCATCGAGGCTTATGACGACATTATAGTAAGCTTCAATTGCAGTTTGGAACCAATTCGACACATTCTGAGAATAGCTATTCCAGGTTAACCCTGTTTGCTCTAAGCCACGTTTGCAAATAAATTTTGTGATAATTTGCCTGTGCAGGGTTCAACCACGTAAGATCAGTTATTGATTTTTTGGTTTGAAATGAAGTCACAGAATCCCACTGCCACGTCTGAAACGGATTTTCAACTCAAAACCGATAATCAGCAAATATTTAACAGATTTGGCATTGAGTTGGAAATTTCATAGTGCGTGTTCCACTCGATAATGATCACACTACGGTTTAACCAGTCGTTCTACTGTCACATCCTCACGACACCTCGAAGACGCTGATTGAAGTCCGGGGCAGTAAAGTGGGAAACGCGTTGACCCCTGGCGGTGGTCGTGAGTCACCACGGCTGCGAGGTCACAGCAGATGGCTCTAGACTCGTGTCGGGAGGGGGTAGGCGGGGTAATCCCATCATCGGTGTCTGCCTCTCTCGGTCAAACCTCCCATTCGCACCCTCTGGAAATGTGTAATTAATCAGCTGTTCGAAAACTGACGTGGTATTTTAGCAAAGAAGATGTCTCTCTGCATGGGAAGACACCCAGGAAACACTTTTTCTTGCTTTCATTGAAAAAAAAAACAAAATTTTAGACACAAGTAGACATGAGGAAGATTTTGAGTGTTCCCAGCATCCCAAAATCTCTATTTTTTCTGTGAGAAAAAGCTGTGCGTGATAGACCACTGTGTTTTCATAGACCTAAGGAACCCGACTACACACAACCAAAAACCAATTTTTAAATCGGTCCCTGATTGGCCACTCTGTGTTCCAAATGTTAAAATGAGTGCTTTGAAATTACCTGACGATTATTGGTTTAGAAAATTGATTATCGATGACCTTGGACGCATAAGATAGTCTAATTTTGGGCCACACTTATTGGAAACTCGATGTCTTATTAAATTTATGTATTCAGTTCCGAATTCAGTGTCTTAAACTGTAAATTTGCGACCGAACTCACTCGATGATTGCTAAACATCATCTTCCGGAAATTTGTTATATTAATAACCTTGAATATATCCAATACTCCAATTCAATTTGAAATGTTGGTTGCCAGAAATCTCCCCCGCGATACTTGTCATGACAGATTTCTATCGACAGGTTTACCCACATTTACGTGAATTTTATTGGTTGTAAGTTGACCAATCCGGGAGCATGCAACATGGTTACCCATTTTCCACAATAAGTCTCATGTTAAAAACGGTATTTTTCTGCAAGATTTTTTGGGCCTTTGTTGCTCTACGAATCAAGTGTTGACCACTTAGAATGGTGTCCAGCCAATCACCGTCAAGGTCGACAATCATCAGGGCTCTGATTGGGTGGTACGCAAGATGCACTGGTGCTTACACGGGAGAGACCTTAAGAGCTGTACTGCAAATTAAATTGAGTTAAAATTCAAATATTTTGACCTAATTGCTGGGTTGTAGGTAAACAAGGTCATAATGAGTGCAAATAGCTTAAATTAGATTAGCGACACTAAAAGATGTGTCAGCCAATAGCATGAGAGCAGCAGTCTTCCTTGAAGATGGGATAATCGCTGTTTGAGGCGTTGAAGTCACCATCGACGATTCCACGCACATGGTCCAGCGTTTTGAACTGTTTGTCCACTTAGTCTTGCTGCTTCATTGATCGGAAAAAACTATCTGACGGTTGGGGCCAAGTCTGGTGAATATTCCGCGGGTGGAAGAACTTTCCATCCCACTTTCAAGGGGGTCTTCTGAGTCATAGTGCGAGCAACGTGGAGTGGTCGAGTGTTGACTCGTCTCCTTTTTTGCCCAGTAAATGGCCTTTTCCAATCAAATTCTTTGCTGTAGCGTTCCACAATCACCGTCTGATGACCAGTTTCCAGGAGTTCGTAATGTGGCACATCCTTCAATTCCCCCCTCAACAGATTCACAAGAGAACATTCTTTTCAGAAGTCTACTGAGTTGATGACCTTTCAAACGCTATAACCTCTTTATTGACTAAATTTACACAAGAAAATAGTTGCCTTCGCCAGATTGATTCAGTCCAGCAAGAAATTGACTAACAGCAAACCTCAGTATTTCATCTGTGGGTGATTTTAAAGGGAATTTGGCTGCATTCGCACAAAGAACAATTCAGTCACTTTTAAATTTCGTTGCCTGCGCTTAAGTGGGTTCTTTATGCTGTAACCAAGTCGAGTGATTTCTTTCAAACCAGAACAAACGACCATTTGGCGCACGCGGGTACAGTTTGCGCTGTCACGAGTGAAGCTGTGGGCTGGAATAATCTCACACTTTTCCCTCGCAGAATGCTGCCGCTAACCACACCCGTCTTAAAAGGTCAGTAGGTTGCACCACGCACACTTTCGATTGCGTTTGTTATCTTCAAAATGACATGATATCGCAGTATGATCACTAAACAATGGTCAAAGGGTGTTAGTGTCTAGCCCAACACCACACACAAAAACCCTCACTATCTCGTGGCTCTCTTGCACACGATCGATTTGTCGTGGGTCGCCTCTGTTCTACTCGGGTGGCCAGTGATACACTTTCTGGAATGGAACCAATTAACATTATTCTAGGATCTACAAGTTAGCTTTGGCGAAACTTGGAGTAGTTTTCAGTTCCTGCAACATCTTAGAGGGTGGACTGAACTATGATTTGTAACAAAAATTACAAATATGAATCGTGCCATGAAAGTGATTCTTAGCCCTCGATTTTCAAAAAGACCGCGTCCAGCGTGCACACACGTCCAGCCACCACAAAAATATCGACTTTTCCGGCTCCGGATGTTCGCGGTCGGAAAAAATCGACTTGCCGCCAGCCGAGCAAGTCACGCAGGCGCGAAAAAAACGCACAGTCCAAGAACGCGTCCGGCGTGCACACTCTGCCAACCACCACCGCAAATATCGATTTTTCCGTCTTCGGATGTTCATGGCCGGAAAAAATCGATTTACCGCCAGCCGAGCAAGTCACGTAGGCGCGAAAAAAACGCACGATCAACCGCACGTCAGGCAGGCGCCAGGTGGCCTATAAACAACTTTTCGAGTTGACACTGGCTTCGCCGGCTCAGTCCATTCTTGTGGTAAACAACGGCTACGTGACCGGTTGCCACAGCGAATTGTAAATGTATCCCAGAAACGGTTTTGCGAGATAGCCTGTGCCAACACCGATCATACCTTCCGATTTTCAACAATGATTGAGATAGACAGACTCTTTTACTGGCTGGAGATTCGTGTAGGGCCGATAACCTCGACAGGGATAACCTCAATCTAACTTTTTTTGTATTTATTCAGAACGCCAAAAACGCGAAGAGATAACAATTTGGAGAGGGGGTGAAAGGAGGGATAGGGGAATCGATAAGGGTTCACGAAGACTCCTCTTCGATTTCCCGGATGAGTGAGGCTCTGGCAGAGGAGTTGCGGTAGAGCGCTTGAACCATTTGACGCAGCTCGGCAACGTCGAGGCTGAGACGAGGGGATTCCTTGCGGTGGCGCCATAGCAATCGGATCTCCTCCAGGGAGGCCGCCTCCAGGATCCGCAGGACCGCTTGAAGACGCGACCACGAGGGAATCCGCCTGGCTAGCAGGGTCTCCACGCACTACAACATGGAAGGGCGAAACCTGATTGGTTGGATTATGCCACAACCAACCAATCAGCGTGGAGCACCGCTACCACTTCTCAATGAGTACTCTCTTTGACTACGGCTAGTAAACTGCCAATCAAATCGAAGGTCATTGTGTCTGCAGAAACAATGCCCTTCAACACTCAACGCCTTTGACGGGATGTGGTTTGTTTGCTTGCAGATGGAAAAAACAAGTACAGAGCCACGGCGTGACCCAATTGTTGGACATAACATGGGTGGAATAACAAATACGGAAAGCTTGTCGACTTGTAAAGTGCTCAATTCCAAAAAAACCTTTTTAAAATCTCCCCCCAGCGCGTCTCAAACGACCATTGGTTGATGACAAAAATGGCACATTTCACTTGTGCGCACGCTAACAACCACAACACGACTTGTGGGCAATCGCCGTGGGCATGCACAGAACAGCGCCTGGCCCTGTCGCCCGCGGCGATTGGCTGCACACGTCCACGCAATCCAAGCCTTGTCAAGGCCGCGGCTCTCATTGGTCGGCAGGCGAAGGAGAGGCTGCAGCGCCGACCAATCAGCGCGGCGGGAGGAAATTCGCCAAATCGAGGGCCGGGGTGGCAAATTTTGGGCTGAAAACCACTTAAATCGACAGACGGCAACACACACCTTTGTCTCCGTCTTTGCAAAGGAACTCCCGAACGCCGGATCGAACGCCGCGTCCAGGTGGGTTTCAAACATCCGCGTGATCTGTGGGGGGAAAATTAAAACAAGGGGTAATTTTCCAGGCACCAGCGACGCCATTTTCTTGGGGATAAACCCCGTCCGAGTGCTAATTAGCATTTTGGTAGGGCCTACGTGATGATCTGGCGACTGAATTAGCATACAGAAACATCGCAAACACGCAAACTGCGAGTTTTAACGACACACACACACACACACAGAAAGCAGTTTTGGGCCGAGGAACACGAGAAATCGACTTGGGTGGGGGGAGGAGCCGAAACCGGACCAAATGCGGGCCGCGATAGCGGACACGGTGTCGGACAGCGGCGAAGAACACTGTGCAGTGACTCAGCCGTCGTGCGAGGGGGAGTGAGTCACTCCGCAGTGGCGGGGTGGGGTGGTGAGGCGCAGTACCGCCGGAAACACGCACACACTCGCTCTGGTTGCTAAAACCAACCAACCAACCAACCAACCGCGTCTTAGCGCCAAGTTTAACTCGAGGCTGGCGAAAACAAACTAGAAATGCTCGTCCTCGGGGCGAGGCAACTAGGCTGTTATTAAAACGCAGGTCCTAAACCGGCGACAAAGTTGTATTTGAAAGGTCCCCTCCAATTGCCGCGAAATTTGGTTGAAAGCTAAAAACCAATGCGTACGTGACCGATGCGCAGCGGGCTTAATTAGCGACCAGTAAATTTGTCAGTGCCTGCCTACTTAAAAAGTGTAAGTAGTGGGAATATTTGGCACTCACGGATTCGATGACGGAGGAGATGAGACGAACCAGCGCGGCGCAATCCATGGTCGTGATGTCGTCTAGCCGCACAACCGCGTCGCAGAGCAGCCTCACGAACTCGTCAGCGAGAACACCTTGGACAGGAGTAACAAAGGAGGTGCACACAGGGGGATTTCATAATGAGGCGCCCATGATTGGTTAATTTTTCAAGGTCACCAAGGTAATAATGATGTCGGGACTGATAACTAGAACCGGTGTTTTCAAATTACTAATATAAATTTAAACAAGATAACCACGCGACCTACCGAGGATGCGCAAAAACACGGAAACCGGTAGCACATCAAACTCCTTGAAAATCCTCAGAAGCTGGGAAGTGCATGTGAGAATTGCCCTCTCACAGGCGTCTCTGCCTTCGCCAGCTGCATCCTAAAGAGTCGCATGATTTACCAAATTACTGGAAACGCACTACTGATTTTATTTAAGTAGACGTTTTGTACTCGCCTTCAGCCCACGCGCGAGCTTGAATGACTCGTCTAGGAGGGTTTTTTGAGTCCGGAGGTGTTCCAGCAGGCTAGATGTCGCAGCTCTGCGAAGCGGTGAGACTAACTGGAGGGTAGAGATGGAGGCGAGGCCCTGGAGGCTGCGCAAGGCTGCTGTGGCTTCAGCTTCGTCGTCGTCGCCAAGGAGGCGTTCAGCGAGGGGGTAGAGCTTGCATCGGCCGAGGGTTAGGCATTCGTGTGCTAGGTACATGCAGTCGTTGTGGTACGTGGCTAGAGAAGAAATTCAAAATAAAACACTACTGATAGCACAAAATAAGTAGCATTAAACAGCATGTAAAAGCATTGGGTTCGAGGTCCGGCTGAAACAGTGGTGGCAGGCGATACGCTACTTCGTGGACAATACTACTGATAACACAAATAAGTAGCAATCCATAGCCCGTAAGTCCCCGATTCAGAGCTGTGTTAAATCTGTGAAGAACGAAGACACACTACTTATTCGACAATACTACTCATAACACAAAAAAGTAAAGCCCTTTAATCTTCAATACCGCAATCCAAGGCCGGTTGAAACAGCGCGATGGGACACATCGCTTATTTAAAAATACTACTGAAACCGGAGGGAAGGGAGATAAAGCGGCTGATTGAAAAATACTACTGTTTACACAAAATAAGTAGCACTCAAATATTCACAGAGCCTTGAAACGGTGAGGGAGGGATACACTGACTGCCCGGAAAATACTACTGACTACACAAAATAAGTAGCACTCATCGGTACACGGAGCCTTGAAACAGTGAAGAGGAAAGGTACACCGACTTTTCGGAAATACTACTTAGAACACAAAATAAGTAGTACTCAGCGGTCACAGAGCCTTCAGAGAGTGGGGAAGAGAGATACACCAACAGGTTGAGAAATACTACTGACAACACGAAATAAGTAACACCCTGATGGCAAAGACGTCGTACCGATGAATCGGAGATCGTGTTTCATGCGTTCGGCGTGCAAAGTGGGCACGCAGTGCGAGTAGAGGAAGATGAGACGAGGCACGCGGTGAAGCAGAGACTGCACCAGGCGCGGCGCTAGCGCGTCACCCTGAGACCCCACGTCCCTCGCCAGACCCCTGTCAAGCAGGCGTTCAGCATCGCCGATGATCTGGTCAATTTGCCCGAGCAAATGCACAACTGCCTTGGAGATCTGCAAAAAAACGATCGATTCACCCACCGACCAATGGGCTTGTCCGACGACAAAGGGAAGGGTGGTTGGGGGGTGGGCCTTACGTAGCACGCAGGGAACTCCAGGTGGACGTTGTGGAACATCTTCGCCAACTCTGCCGCCTCCAATTGCTCCTCCGACATTTTGGCGTTCTCCTTGTTGTCGTCGCTTGCCTCCGTGGAAGGCGTCTGCTGTCCCAGTTTACTGACACCAACCTTTCAAAAAAACCGCAGTCATATTGGGTGTGACTACTAACAGAATTAAGTAGTAGAGAATTCACAAACTCACTCTCTCCAGAGATGCGAAATTTTCGTACTTTTCCAGAATCCGCATCAGCGACTGCAAGTAGGCCTGTTCTTGGCGCTGATTGGTCAGTCGAGTGAGGCCGTCGAGGAAGTCTGAGAGGCAGGTCACGGCTTTCTCCTGGAAGAAACCGCACTCCTTTGCCGTGGTGATCAGCGGCCACAGGGCGCTGTTGGTCGCTAGAATAAACTAAAAAACCTATTACCTCCTGACTACTTATAAATACTAAGTAGCAGTGTTTATTACTACCTTGGACGTTTCATCATCGACCACTTGAAGCACGCCATTGTCGGCGACAACAGCAGCTGTGGGCAGATTGGGGGTTAGAAAGTCGTCGAGCAGGCGTCTGGCTAGTTCAACGTTGAAGACGTCCACTGCAGGCACGCAATAATCGATCAGACGACTGCCAGTCCCGTCCGACAGACCAAATAAGTGGTTGTCGAGGTCGCGCAGGGCATTGGTGAGTTGCCTGCAGACATCTTGGATGACAGCCGTGCTCTCCTTTCCAATGTTCTCCGTTGAATCTAGATCTTCACCGTCAATTGAAACCAATTCTAGACACCAAATTTCCGCATGATCGAGGCTCAGGTCTTCCGTGACCTTGAGGGTTGGCAAGAAAAAAAATTAGCGCAAATAAAGACATAAATCCACAAGACATTCAACTAACATTGAAACGCAGGTGTGAGGTTCGTGAGTCGATTTTGCCCGAGATGCTTTCGAGCCAGGGAATGAACATCTGTTTCCAAATTTCTTCAGCCACATTCTCTATTCGCATCTGCAGATTTTCAGGAAAATACAATTACTACTTGCTAATTAAAAGTAGACATTAAATTGAGAAAATTGAGCACCTGAGTTTCGTGCATGGCTCCCATGAGCGTGACGAGGCTTGTTAGCTCCGGCGGCGTGCCATGAATTTCCAGCTTGCAGACAATATTCCTCTCGTCGGGATTTGAATAGACGCGTACCATGCTGTGCCAGTAGCGATCGATAAAATCGCGTAGTTCCCTCTGAAATACGCAACAAATAATGAGGCGAATTCGGCCGTTTCTACAATAAGCAAAATTACTATATCCGAGAAAGTGAAAAGAATAATAATAAACTACTGAATTGAATTTGAGCGCCTATACCTTACCTTATGATCGACCCACGTTCGCATGAAAGATTGGAAGAGGACGACTTCGGATTTCTCATAGAATGTCTCAACGGAGAGCTCTTTTTCAGTCTCTCGTAGGCACGCCACGATGGCAGCGACTTCGGCTCTGAAAACCAAAGCAAAATCACGACAAAACTACTACTCATACATTATAAGTAGACCCAGAAGAGAGTGAATGACAAAAAACTGATTACCTCGGTTTCGTGAATGGTCGTACGAGGGCGACTAGCCCTGTCGTTAACTCATTACAATTTGATTTAAAAATACTATCACTTACTACTTATAAGTAGCCAATATAGCATAAGTGAGGAGAACCGCATACCAGAAAAGACTTACTCAATATCGCCACAGTTGGGAGGCACTTGAGCGACTAACCCATCGCCATCACCATAAGCTCCCACGTCATCTTCGTCATCGTCGAAGTCGTCCAGGTCGTCCTCGTCATCGTCTTCCTCCCAATCCGAGCCATCTTCCTTCTCTTTCTCGAAGACCACCTGTTTACGGGAGTCAGCATTGGCGAGGAAGTGGTCGCGCGAACGACGTGCTCTGCAGCGTCGAATGAGGTCGTAGATGCGGTCGCCAAGACACTCCAGGCATGTGTGCACGCGCAGCAGGTGCTGGCAGCTCGCCTGCAGCTTCAACACCGCCTCCAACTGCTCCACTGCGCGCGAGTGGATCTCCGATGGCATTAGACGTGGAAGTCTCTTGCACGGAACTCCGGTACCTTCCAGAGCTTCAGCAGGGTCGAGCCCTTCCATCTGGGATTTGACCTAGAAGTTGGCCAATCCTGGGTAGACAGGTGTTAAAACAAGACCTACCTTGCTGGCATATTCTGCATTCAGTGCATCGATGGTGATCTGCAGGCGACGCAGTTCAGCTGCATTTTGCGTAATTTGCTCCGAGACAGGGCGAAAATCTCGGTGAAATTCATTTAACTTAGAACAGATGGATTCTTTTAGTGAATTTAATTGCGCCGTTAATTCGACAACGGAGATACTAGGTGGGCTGCTCTTGTACTCCTGTAGGATGCCCGAAATGGAGGCATGGGAGTCGGTCATTGTGTCTGAAATTGTACAATTCCACATAAAACTAACATGCACAGATGTGACGTGGCAGTAACTTGGATTAATGAGGAAAGAAAATTAGTTGAGCAGAATTAGCAAACCTTGTTTATAAGCTCAAAAGTGGGACATCATGAGAAGGTATACGCATATGATGGCTCACTAACTAAAAGAAGGAATTAGCAGCGTTTAAGTTCGTTCCGACCATTAGAGCCTGGACCATAAGGACCCAAACTTTTCTTGATTTTCAGCACTTTAAACTTACTTAAATAACCCACAGATCAGATTTTTACCGGAAAGGTCCTTAAAATAGAATCAATAACAATAATATGAAGTAAAAATTTACAAAATACACAAACGACTTAAGAGTACATATACGCGGTGATATACTTACTCATGCGCAAATAAAAAAATTATAAAAATTACCTATGACAAAATCCTACAAAGGTTCAAGTTTTTAAATATAATAACTGAGCCACTTAAAAATATGTGCATTATATACTTCGTAATATAAGTATATTATTAAAACAACAGTCCAACGTGATTTAAAATCACTCGACGGTAATCATTCTTACAAAAATATCACAAAAAGCTACATAGAAAACAACATATATTTAAAAAATGCTATAAAATTTATGCCAAACTAGAATTACGTCCAACAACAGCGACACACAAAATTTGAAAAATCGGCGAGTGCGTAAGAAGCATCAACGTCATTATTCAAGTATCTTAATGGATAAAAAAGATAATAATTGCATGCTTCTAAGCAAATCAGTTACTTAGTAGTTTTTTTGTTATTTATGTTTAAATTTTTATTTTATTGTTGGTATGACATTCTATTCGACAGCAGGGATCTAGCAAAATGTCCTTTGGCATTTCCTGAACAATAAAATTAACAATTAACGTATGAATAGTTTTTATGCAAGCTTAAACAGTATTTTGCTACCTAAAAATCAGTTAAAGCTAATTTCAGGTTGCGTAAGCATCTCTTGATAAGTTCAAATTTTTGGGATGTGGTTCCATAAATCTCTAAGTAAAACTATATTTGAGGGGAAGAAATTAGTCTTAATCTCAAAAACAATGCCAGTCGTTCCCTAAACCTAATCAGGCCAACTCAGCTCTATTTCTTTTTACAATAATTCATTATCAAACGATGCTCGCATAGCGGATTTAAATAACAACTTAGAGACGTCAAGACAGTAAAACTTGTAATTATTAATTTTTTTGTGAAGACCATATTGCAAAAATTTTAATTAATTTGTGCTTTATTTCTGTCAAAACTTTGTAACTTAAGAGCAAAAGACAATGTGTAACTTAATTTTTTGAATATGCCACTGTTTTATCCAACGTCAGACAACTGGCTGCTCTCGAAATTCCTTTTTATGAATTATGCTCTCAGTTAGTAAGTTGACGCAAAATTTGAATTTTATTTCATGCATTTACAATCTGCGCGTCCAAAGCATCAGTGGTATGTGCTCAATTTTTGTTAATTAGAGCTGAAATAATTAATTCGTTCTGCAACTTCAAATTAAATTTAAAAAAATCTTGTCACGCTACGAGCACGGATGGGGAGTTTATGCACAACTTTGAACTAATTAAATCGCGTTGCACTCCACCGGCCTCAAAATAGTTCTTTTTTGAAAAAGGTATTTGAATCTGTAATTTTCAAAACACAGGTATAATTGCTGACTTAATGCCAGAGATTTGATTGTCTCTTTTGTACTTGAATAAATAGACTCGTTTTGCATTTACCATGCTTCTTTTACTTTTTTAGATGCGGCGCTCAGTTCAAAAAATATTCCAATTCTCCAGCTACGGCTTTATTTGCAAATAACTTGGGCATTGAAGAATTTAACCAATGACGAGTTCCACATAATCCGGCCTACTCTGACAGGTTTATTGTTTCAATTGAGGAGTGATTGTGTAGGGAACTCGGTTCACTTGGACAGCTTTCAACTATGTAGACTTTTTCGGTTGACTCCGGCGATGCCTGCAATGAAAAATGTGAAATTTTAGTAGTATCTTCACTACTTTACAAGCTTAAGCTAAAAAACCGCGATTTCATGATGGGTGGATGTCGACTAATACAGATGGAGCACCAATTTATCCGCTTAAAGTAAATCGCGTTATAAACTGAGAGCTCAACATTTTATAAACATACAGCTATCTTGATACACGTGTCACACTTTTAAAGTAATTTCATTTCAGTAGTATATCAGGATAATTTGAAATTTGACTTACCGAGGACTCTGAGTGCGTTGATGCCCTCTTCGACTTCTTGTTTTGCAGGCAGTTGACAAAACTTACGACCGCAACAAGAAAAATAGCATCTATGACACCGGCGCTTATCAGGGCAAGACCTGTGACGCAACGTCTTCAAAGATTTTTAAAAAAAAAAGAACATTTTTGTCCAGAATCATATAACACGCGTCTCCATGTTTGCATAAAAGCGTACTTTTTGTAAATGAAATTTCACTGTTGTTTAAATGAAAGCAGGAAAAATGGAACTAAGGTTTCATTGTCAAACATTAAATTTCTTACTGAATTTGAAATATAGTGAAATGTGTTATGCTTAATTAGAGATATGCTTCTTGCTAGAAGTTTACAACACGAATAGCTGAGCATCGGTATGCAACCTCTGATTGAGCTGCAGCAGTAGTCTCAGACACGGGGTTGATGATATATGAACAAGATCTTGGTTTAGTATTGACCGCAAAATCGATAATTGTGCTCACTTTTCTCCGGGAAATTGCAGACGACACCCGTAAGTCGCCAGGAACACTCCAAACGTGACGAGGGTGAGTGAGATCGACAGAATTAGAAGAATGCAAACGACGTATAAAATCATCACAGATTTTCTTTCCATCATGTGGTCTACAAAACACACTTAATCTTTAACCCACAACATTCGAAATCTAGACACACTTATTGAGCAGAGAATGATTCACACTTCAAGTAATGACACATAGCATCCTTAGGTGGGCACTTTACAGATATAAGCGATGAATAAGTGTGCGAATATGTGTAAAAAATCAGAAAAAAAAACGCATCAGTACTTACGTCTAATGCTTGGATGTCCGCACAGTGGAATGACAGCGCCGTTTCCCCAGCTTAGTTACTTTAGAGGTACTGACATACAGTGTGATTAAACAAATGGCTCGATTTCTGGATAATCGGGTTAGTGACCCACCTGGTCGATTGCCACCAACACTCGAGTTAACTTTTTCGCAAATTGAGGCCTTTTTTGACATGTTCCTTTATTGGCACCCACATTTCGCTTGTTTTGCACATCTGCTTTTTCCGCCACACAATTTCAAATATGATTTCATTAAGGAAAAACAAATGCTAAGATAAAGTCATCTTGCGTGCAAAAGTGCATGAAATCAAGGTGTTTGATAAAACTTTAAACAAATAATCAATAAATAGTGTCAATTTTATGTGCGCCTAAAAACCCCGCCGCTGAGATTGTAACTGAGCATTTCTCGCGAGGCCCGATCAATCGCCCAATCTGATTGGTTCAGAAGACAAGGCCAAATGACGAATCAGACGAGTTGGTGGTTCCCTATTAGATCAGACAGTAATTGGTTTTTTTAACACACTCAGAGTGGATTAATGTTTCAAACAATTGAAAATTCGTAATTGTGCTATAGTTGCTGTAAATTTAAAAACTTAAATTTATTTAGCGATGTATTGCTCATTTTGTCCAAAAACACATCAGGACCAAATTCTCTACACTCCATCTCTATGGTAGAACAAGAATACAGCTCTTCAGAATCTTGTCCTTCAATAAAGCATGGTTAGCTGTTGATGCTACACATCTCACAGCTTTGATCTCCAGCTTGCCAACATCGATGTGGACCATTAGAATCAATAACCTTCTCTTATTCCTGAAGGCACCGGCGTACAACTGATCCGAATATGACCCAACACGTCCGATTCATTCAATATATCCAACAGGAGTGTCTTGTCGCTAGAATACAGTTCTGACTCTCTTTCTGGGTCGTCAATAATCGAACCCCAGGTGTCCTTAACTTCGAAAATTTGCACGCTTTCTGTTCACTGTAGATGTCACCATCGAAATGATATTGTAGTGAGTTGTGCGGGTCTGTGATATGTTTTTGACGTTCAAACAGCGCCGACATAGTTTTCACTAAAAACCACAGAAACTACACTTATTTGGCTAATCACGCAGCTTACGGAAATTGGTCGTGATGTGTTGTCGCGCATTCTGCATGCAACCACACTTACCCTTACCAGAAATGTCGCATTTGGCCATAAAAGTTACATGAGCGCGGAACCACTAGGCTGTCAGGCCAATGACAGATAGTCAGTCGACAAAATGAGCAATGCATCTCCAAATAAATTTTAATATTTAAATGTACAGCAACTAAAGTGCTAAAGATTTTCCCCATGACAACCAGCACAATCACGAATTTTCATTTGTTCAAGACATTAATTCGCTCTGAGTGTGTTAAAATAACTAATTACTGTCTGATCTAATTGGGAGCCACCAACTCGTCTGATTCGTCATTTGGAGTTGTCTTCTGAACCAATCAGATTGGACGATTGATCGTGCTTCGCGAAAACTGTTCAGTTTCAATTTCAGCAGCGGGTTTTTTAGGCGCACATAAAAATGACACTATTTATTAATTATGTGGTCAGAGTTTTGACAAACACCTTGATTTCTTACACTTGTGCCCGCAAGATGATTTTATCGCATGCCTGGCATTGAAGTATTTAGCATTTGTTTGCCTTAAAATCATATTTGAAATTGTGTGGCGGAAAAATCAGATGTGTAAAACAAGCAAAATGTGGGTTCCAATAAAAAAACATGTCAAAAAGGCCACAATTTGCGAAAAAAATTAACTCAAGTGTTGGTGGCAACCGACCGGGTGGGTCACCAAGCCGACAATCCACAAATTGTTTCGCGTAGTCAGCCAATAAAGTTTCGACACTTAACCTAGGAAAACGAAGTTTTATTGCTTTATGAGAGCACCCAGGGATCAGACAAAAGTAAAGGTGTTTTACTTGCTGAATTTGCAGTCGTTTGATTATTGTGAGTCACATTTAAGAAATGTTGTGTCTAAGCTGCCTAAGTTGTCGCAACCGTCAAAGCAATTGCATTTTGCTGAAATTCACGTTAGACGCTTGGTAATCACTTAATGTGATCAATCATTGCCTGCATCAGTAACCGGCTCATCTTGGGTTGCTATGTGCCATTAATTAGTGCCGAAGCTAATGATAGCTGCTGCATAAATAAGTTTGCAAATTAATGTAATTAAGCGATAATGACGGGCTGGAATCCCTGTTGGTCGCGGAAAACTTCATTTCGGTTTGACATAGGTGGGTTTGTCTTAATGCGCACACGCGTTTACATTGCGCTCCAGAACAGAGACCAATAAATGGTTTGGAAGCGACACAACTACCAATCAGCTTGCAGGAAACCGCTTCGGAGACACGTTCGTTCCTGCACAAGGCAGATGCCGTGGCGCTGATCCCTACTACTGCAAGCTCTATGGCGGCGAGGTCAAAATTGGCGCTTTGATTAACACTCACGGAGTTTCATAAAACATAAACATTTGTGGCAATGAAAATTAAATATTGATTCTGAGACTTGAAATGAACGTTATTGTCTCCATGACGTGTTGGCAAGACGGACTCCAACTTCCGACCCTACTCACGTGCATTCCCACCGCCCATGTCACGCTTACCACTCTAACAGCTGTACTTTTACGAGTTCAACCGAATCCGATTGGTCAACAGCCAGCGCTCAGTCTTGCTCTCCTGTGCCCGTCTCGGCGGCACACGTGGGATCGCTGACCCTACCTTCACCCCCACCTAACACAGGCCAATTTTTAGGTCACTGTTGAGGCGAATTGAGAGCCGATTTTGCTAGTTTGAAGTTAATTTGAAACAAGAGCTGCCAAGAGGAACATTTACCCATTTATCTGTTTCTAAACAACGAGTAGAAAGTGATAGTGACCGAGTCGAAGGCATAGTTGAAGAGAGCGTAAAATGCAGACATTTTAGTAGTGGTAATATCTATCTTAGTGACCAGCGGCTGCAAACTAGAACATCCACGCCGAAACAGGGCATCCACTTGTTGAAGAAGAAGGTTCTCCTGTGCATCTGTTGGAGGCACTTTAAGGGTGTACTTTGTTACACACTCATGCAAACAGGTCTTCAGACGGTGAATGGGGAACGCCACAGCAAAGAATTTGATCAGAAAACTCCATTTACTGGGCAAGGAAGCAGACAAGTCATACTGCTGCTGTTGTATGACAACGCTCGACCACCTCAAGTTGCTCGCGTTGTGACTCAGAAGACCCTCTTGAACGTGGAACGGGAAGTTCTCCCACACGCGGCATATTCACCAGACTCGGCCCCATCCAACTACCATTTGCTCCTTCCAGCAGCAGTTCAAAACGCCGGACAATGTGCGTAGATTCGGCGATGGTGACTTTTTTCCCATGAAACATGAAATGTTTCCTTTGATAGAAATTGACTTAAGGAGCCAGAATTGGCAGCATGTGAATTGACTACGTTGTAACCGCACATCATTTCACGTGCATATAGGGCCGTTTTGAAACCCTAGCTCAATTTATGCCCCGAACTGGTCCGACAATGAACAGGACGCATTCTTGAATCCGCTTCCATGCAGCTTACAATGCTAGGGACCAGCATCCCTACACGTGGCTCGTGCTCGATCGAATGCTTTACTGCGGGGGTTTCCTACAACCTGATTGGCCTTTGTGAATTGAGCACGCTAACACCCACGCGCACGCACAAGGACACATCGTTGCTGGCGGTTGAATCAGCGCCTGTGTTCAATGGCGTAGTGTCGCTTCCCCTTCACCTTCTTAAATCACGTGTTCTCTGAGTGTCGACTGGCGACAGGGTCGTGTCGATTTCGTGGTGGAGCACACTCACTACTCCACTCACCAAGCTTGTTCAAGCGACAGATTTCAAGTCAGAGCATAATTTCCCCGTCATTTTTGTTCAAACCATTCAACCACAGTGCTTAGCGGTCTACCAGAAAACATTGGCATTCTGTATTTTAATTCAAATTTCAAAATAGTGTTCCCTTTCCTCACTGATCTAGCAGCCAATCAACTATCTGGTCTGTACCTGCGTACCGGTGCAATCATTCCAGGGATGCCTCCTGTTTGTGAACATCAACCACCTCAAGCATCGATTTTTTGCAGCGGACTTTGTTTAAATTAGACGAAAATCGATACAGATCTCCGGAGCCAGAAAGCAAGGATGAACTGCCAACACAACGCTGAATGTTGCCATCCGCCACGTAAAGACATCGTGACGAAAACTTTGGACCTGTGGAACTCGTTTCTGGACGTGGAACAACACACACACACACACGCGATATCTCATTGGAGGGAATGACAGGCTGCACACAGGCGCGATGACTAATGACTTGAAAGTCAACAAATCCGAGAATGACGCTACCCACCCTGCTGGACGGCATAGTTTAGTTTATCCAGTTGACGCCAATGCGACGACGAGAGTAAACATTGCCTAAGTTGTCACCCAACACCCACTTCCCGAATGAGTTATTAAGCAAGCTCCACCTGTTCCACAGCCTCTAGCACCAGAAGTTTCCACCTTTGAACCGGTGTGGTGCATCTTTGTAAAGAACTCTCCCGCAACCTCCACCCTGGATGTCAACGTCGCCAACACGACGGAATCACCGCAAACAGCTGGAGACTCAACGATGCACACAGTCGTTTCGCTTGCACTGAATCGTGCCGATTCACGTCCACTCACCTCCCCATTTCACGGCTTGCCCGTCAGCCATGCGGGAACGTCTGTTCACCTCCCCTTCTACCCCATTAGTCCGACGTGGCCTTAAGTAGACAGTGGCGCAGTACTACCAGGCTGAGAGATCTAGCAAACGGCTGTCTCCTCCACCTAAACGCGCATATTCTTCGAGATTACTCGCGGGAACCTTCACCACACAGACACCGATTAAAAAATGTGCCCCAGTTCGTTTGACTAGCTGCGTCATTAGCGTAGGTGAGAAATTCCTGGAAGGCCCGTCCATTGGTCAGGCGAAATTCCTAGGAGGCCAACCACGATAATAAGAGGGGTGACTCATTGCCCCAAGGCAATGACACACCCACCGCTAGCCGCACAAGGCGTTAGGCGTGTTCAAGCGCTAATGATCAACCTGGTATGACCTACTTTTTAGGGAATTCTTAGCTAATTTATTTAATATTTAAAAAATGTAGAGAGCAACCAACTCAACAAAGGAAATATGGTCCATCGGCTTCTAGGACCTTGGGCCATCTCTCAGGTAACGAATAAATGCCGTCGCGAAGGAAACTTGCACGCTTCCAGGCAATAAAGTCACCATTGCCGAATCTTCGAACATCGTCCGGCGTTTTGAACTGCTGCATTGACCGGATCAAATGTCATTTAGAAGGGGCCAAGTCTGGTGAATATGCCGCGTGTGGGAGAACTTCCCGTTCCACGTTCAAGAGGGTTTTCTGAGTGAGGTGGTCGAGCGTTGTCAAGCAGCAGTATGACTTGTCTGCTTCCTTGCCCAGTAAATGGAGTTTTCTGATCAAATTCTTTGCTGTGGCGTTCCGCATTCACCGTCTGACGACCAGTTTGCATGACTTTGCAATAAAGTACACCTTTCAAGTCCCCCCAATCCGATGCACAGGAGAACCTTCTTCTTCTGCAAGTGGATGTCCTGTTTCGGCGTCGATGAACTGGGTTGTCCGGCATCTAGCCACGACGTGCTCCCTCTGGGATTCTTGCAAGAATAGATATATTGTTTCATCACATGTAACATTTACTGCTAGTTGCCGGCGGGCGAGCACTGAAAGGCATGTGTTCGTACGTTGAGGTCAACACATGTGGGGGAGGGGACCCATGCTCCAAGTTTTCACATTTGTCGCAAACGCCGTTTGGGTGACTCCTTACTGAGATGCTGCAAGCTCCTGCTGCGTTTGTGTTGAGTCTTCCTGCAGTAGAGCTTGCAATTCCGCGTCTTCAAACGCCCGAGGCTGCTGTCCGGGGCGTGGCCGGTCACCAAGATCGAAATCACCACCTCTAATAACACGTTTCATGCAGCTCAACGTCGGCAGCACCAAGAACACTACAAATTGATTACCTGCGTGCTTTAAAAGCACTTTCCCCTCTTCGAATCCGTATAAAAGGCAGTGCCGTCGAATGTGCGGTTCATCACCTCCCACCGTAAATCCCGTTATTCTGAGGTGATGCGCAAAAACTGACGCAAATTAACTCATGCACCTGACTTTTACGTGCCACAATTCGTGTCTCCAATTTGCATATTTTAAAATAGGCGTCACGCCAGTCACAGGGGTGACTGGTGCCTGTCCACCGTCCCTCTCCACCCACACAGCTGACACTTCGTTTTTAGGAACAAAGACACACACACACACCCTATGAACGGTTTACATTGCAAACACACACAAAGTTGACAATCAGGAACGGAGTAAACGAGGGGGCGGGAATAAGACGACAAGAGTCCCGGCAGCAGCAGCAGCATCACTACTCGGGTATGTTCTCGGCGAACTGCGTCAGGTACAGCTTGACCTGGTCCTCCTCACGTTGCAGAATGCCTTCGTTCACGCCGATCGTCTCCAGAGCCTGCTGGACTGCGCGCGTGCACGGAACTGGGTGTTCTTTGAAGAAGGCCTACAACAACACCGGACATTGCCACATTATTCCACGCAAAGCCTCAACCAGACGAATAGGCGAGAAGTTGATGACTCACGTCAATTTCGGCGTAATTGGCCTTGGAGCAGAAGCCCTCGCAGCAACTCTACAAAAGAGGCAAAACGAAGCTACAGACAGGCCCGTCGAGCACCGCGCGCTACAACCACCAATCGCTGCAGAGTCACGGCTGATTGGTCGAACGCCACTTCCATACGAACTTGTGTGGCGAGAGAGCAATCTGTGTGTGTGTGTGCTAATGACGGGGCAACGCTCAACTCAACACCACCACCACAACCCCAACCGCTTACTTTCAGCACGCGACCCGCAAGATGGCTACCGCCAAGATCATCCATGACGGTTGCAATGCGCGTCTTGACCTCGCTCCAAACAGCTCGACGACCGGCTGGCGAGCCGGAAAGCGCAATGAGAGGTCTCAGACGGTCCTGCTTGCGCACGAAGTCGGAGAAGGCCAGATCCACCGCGCGTTTGATGACGGTGGCTTTGCGCGCAAGACCGATGCAATGAAGAATGCGCACCCGTTCGTCTTGCATGGTCGCCTTGTCGTGAAGCTGCAGTGGCCAAAAGGAAGACCCCTTCGAGACTTGGGATTAACAGTTTGCTCAAAGTAAAAAAAACACGACCCACCTGAAGCAGCTGCTCGTAGACCTCTTCGCCGCCGTGCTTGATGCACGTGGAGTAAACTGCAGACCGCAGGTCGGCTGGAATGAGATCACTGCGTGGAGCCGCGCCGTCACCGTCCTGACCAGCCATCACGGCTCTGTAGTGCTTCTCGAAGCGCTTTTGAGCCTCTGGCACAACCTCCGTGGAGCCAGTTCCACCGAGAATGGCGACGAGCAGAGGACGCAGCAGTGTGTCGTTGTTCGACTCGTTAGCACGTGGATCCCAACCTACACGAAGGCAAACCAGATTGTCATGAGACGCTTTTGGGGCACAATAGGTGTGGAGAGGTTTCTTGTTAACACTACCTAGACGCTTGAAGGTGTCTTCGGCGACGTGCGCCATGAACATGTCCATGGCGACCTCCACGGGTGTAGATGGAGCACCAGCAGCGTCCACGGACTTCACGTAGCAGCTCTCGCTGATGATGTCACGAATGAACGCCAGTTGGGTGCTCAACTCACGCCAGACCGTGTAGTCTCCCTCACCGAGGAAGGTTGAGGCCATGGTGAGGGCTGTCGTCAGCCGAACCCTACCTGCTCGGGCCTGGAATGGGAAAATGCGGAGCAACGAGTGATGATGGAATGGTGGCAAGCAAACAGCACGACGACGAACAGCTTTCGACAGGCAAATGCGTGACCAATCACAACACAGCCTTCGAAAGTGGTCCAGCCAATAGAAAAACTCACGAGGGCAAAGGTGTCGGCCAGAAGACTGAGTCGATCTAGGCTCGGCAGCTGCTTCTCGCCAAGAGCCTCCAACACCGGACCCATCATGCCTTCGTCGTACTGCACGCGATAGAACCCGAAAACGCCGGGGTTCAGGCGGATCTTGGGCTGCCCCTTGCCAGCAGTGGGGGGGATACACACCGTGAAGGGGTCCTTCGACGTGACCCCCCCACGAGGCGGCACCATCACCCGAGCGAGCACCTTCGTCGAATCAGACGCCTCGCAGATGGTTACTGGCACGTACCACTCGAGGGCCTTGTCTGTTTTAAACAGGAAACACACGAGGGTAATGCCACGGATGGTGCTTAGCAAAATTGGCTCCAGTAATTACATTAACTAGGTTATGTCAATTTTCCCCAGATTGCTGTGTCTTGTTCATAAGAACCGGTGGTTTCAGCATCCGTGTCTGTTTCACCTAAAGACCATCTTAGACAGGGGGAATTTCACGAGGATGACAATGCTGGGGCCGCGACAGGATCCATTCCGAGTACTTTCAGCTCAGATGAGATGAACGCAAGAATCGGAAGTTGATTTCGGTGTGGAACACGCAAAAACACGTAAGACGGTTCGGACCAACTAACGAGGTGTCAGTTGTGTGGGTGGAGAGGGACGGTGGACAGGCACCAGTCACCCCTGCGACTGGCGTGACGCCTATTTTAAAATATGCAAATTGGAGACACGAATTGTGGCACGTAAAAGTCAGGTGCATGAGTTAAT